CAATTCCTTAACAGGGATTAGCGGAAGCAAACATTGCAGGATGGTTGGTTCACAGGTTCTGGAACCAAACAGCCCACACTGGAACCCAAATTCTGCTAGTTCCCTGTAGGAGACACTGGGCAAGGTAGTTGCATGGGCCTCACTTTTCTCATCCGCTAAGCAGAGATGATGATAACCAAATGGGGTGACACTTGCAAAGGATTAGAACTGTACCTACAAGGGGAGGATACTTGTCATTTTTGCAGACTGCTTAGGTGAGAATGGAAGAGAGGAAATAAGAGCAGCTGATGCATTGCTTTGAGAAGCTGTGAAGGGAATCAGGAAATCGGAATGCATTTATAGGAAAGGGGAATGTCAAGCAGTCAAACACAGATGTCGGTGTGTATTTTGTTCCCAACGTAAGCAAAGCCTGTGCACATTTAAAAGTGGGTGGAAAGGAACTGGCAGATAGGAAGACAGGAGAGGTAGGGGTCACCATGGGAGCGAGATGACGTGTAACAGGAGCCAGGTGAGTTGAAGTGACAGGAGGGAATTCTCTAAATTGTGTCTGTTCTTTAGAACACCTCAAGGACACCTTCGAGCCAACTAACAGGCTAACAGCATTCCACACACAGAGCCAGGGTGTTTGAGAACACAGACCCCGGGCATCCTTGGCCAAACCTCTAACAGTCACAGGATCCACAAGTAGAGGAGCAAGGAGCAAAAACTAGGCTGTGTTCAGGTGTCTGTGAGTGACCACGTGCATGGTCAGTCCTTTCACCACAAATGCCACGGAAAATACTTTGGTCCAAGAGTCAAATTCAAGGTGAAGGATCAACCTCCTCCTATACGAACATGCTAATAACCTCTAGTGTCTTAGCTGAACTCTTTAAACATCCTAAAATCTGGCTTGGTAAGTAACAGTGCTTCAACCGAAACCCTTGGACTGTCATATGCAGACAGAGGACCCACCTTGCTCTCAAGTTTGAGATCATAAGTATATATTTGGTCACTTGGGAAGAACACAGCCTACCTGCAGGCTAATCTGAAGCAAGAGCAAGAAGAACTACCAGTGCCACAGACTGCTGCGGATGAAAGGCAGGGTGTTAAAGGGGAGACACGCTGAATGGAATTAAAAGCAAACTAGTGTTTTGGTTCTCATGAGTACTATTCTCTCAGTCCTTGGCCTCATGATCTCAGCCATGAAGCGTCAGTCATTTGTTTAGAATTCTATTTTATTCAGTGCTTATTGGGCTCACACTATGAATCAGACTAAGAGAAGCTGACATATTAAATACAATTAAGACTAATTAAGTACAATTCAATAAGTATCTCAAATAACATAAAAATCTATGCGGCGTATGGTAAATTTCAAGTCAGTATTTCTACTTTTGCTTCCTCCCACCCAAAGCAATTCTCTTTTAAAATTTTGCTTTTCCATACAGATGCAAAGCTTTGTCTTAAAAAGCTTCAGGAATTTTATGAGTTGGTAGTGTGAAGGAGAGACTGTTTTCAGTAAGGCCACCTTCCCAGAGACTCCCAATCCTGGTGCATGGGAGGTTCCTCCCCTACCAGCTAAATGCAACTTGACAAAAGGTGTTTCGCACGCTGCTGGTCCCATGTGCTAGCTCTTCATTTCATACCTGGACTCTCTTTGTTTCACACTGTTCACATGGTGACCTTCAGAGCCCCATCCCTGGGCATACCTAGAAGAACCTTGGTGCGTCGTTTCCCTAAATGAGCCAGGAATGACGGATGCGGAGTGGAAATCCATTTGTCTGCAGATGGGTTGAACTTGGAAGTGTCGCTCATCCTCAGAGTTCCCTGAAGGACCAGGTTGAGCCTGGATTCATGGGAAATTTCATCCCTTCTTGCTCCGTCTTGTCTTCATCCTACTTTCTGACTTAATCATTGGTTTCCTCCAAGAAAAAGTACTTAATAATCAACCTACGTATAAATCCTTGGCTCAAAGTCTGATTCTGGGAATACTCAAGTGAAGATAGCACTTATCACTCATTCATTCATGCCAGAAGCTCAATCTGGTGCCTTCTTCTCAGTTCAGTTACATGACACAAAATGTAATCGTGGGTATGCTCAAGGTACTATATGGGTCATACAGCGTACACATTTTGGAGCTAAGGGAAACTTTTAAAGTCTGAGCAAACCACCATAGCTATTGAAGTAACTTACGTCCAGTAGATTCTCATGAGTGGTAAAATACTTGTTCAGTGCTAGGTCTTATGCTCTTAGACACTGAGAAAAACAGTCCTTTTCCTAGGGTTCTATTCAATTCTGTGCTTATTGGGCTCTGATTATAAACCCAATTGAGTATGACAAACTGACAGAGACTAACAGGGAGTAAGTATACCTTGAATAACATAAAATGCTATCGAAGGAATGGAATGGTGTATTTCCAAGAAAATGGAAGGCTGAGTTTTGCGGGATAAGCAGATTTCGTTCTGGAAAGAGCTGGAGAGGCTTTTTAGGAAGAGGAAATAGCATGCTCCATTCACGCCGCAATTACAGTTGCAATTAGGTCTCAGAGAGAGTGAGTAGGTTAAGGATTCGAGAAGTACCAGTCCTGCATGCAGGTCAGAGGCGGATCTAGAGGTGTAGGTTGGAGCCACTCAGTGGTGAACTTCAGGTACTTCAGGACTGACTCCTGTCATAGAGGGAAACTTTCAAAGATATTCAGGATTTGCCCAGATTTGTCTTAGAGATAATATGAAGGATATATCTGGAGAAAAATTGGGGTCAGAAACAATAGCTGGCCATTAGATTAAACCAAACTTAAGTTCCAATATATGACTATTTTAAAAATAGAATTTACTTTTTCAAGTAGTTTGCAGCAGAACTGACCAGAAGGTGCACACATTTCTAGCATACCTCTACCCCCATGTATACATCTGCTACACTGATGAACCTAGTGACACCTCGTCTCCCATAGTCCTGAGTTTATACGAGGGTCCGTTCTTGCTGTGGCCCATGCTACAGAGTTGGACAAATGTATTCTGCCGTGTAGCTGCCATGCTAGTACATACAGCGGAATTTTACTGTGGAGAGTGAAGAGCGTTTTTAGGTGCAGAACAGCCCCACTATTTCTGACCTATGGAAACATAATTTCTTGGGGCTGGGGATTTAGCTCAGTGGCAAAGCGCCTGCCTGGCAAGCGCAAGGTCGTGAGTTCAGTTCCCGGTACCGGAGAAAAACCAAAAAAAAAAAAAAAAAAGAAAAGGAAACATAATTTCTTTTCTTTTCTTTTTCTTGTCTTTTTGCAACAGGGTCTCACTCTGCAGTTCAGGGTGACCTTGAGCTCACGTTGTAACCCAGGCTAGTCTCAAATTTGCAACCATCCTCTTGCCTCAGCCTCCCAAGTGCTGGGATTATAGGCGTGCACCACCACACCTGGCATAAAACATAATTTCATATGGTTCAAACGGATACCCTTGCCAGAAATGAGGGTGATGATTTGAAGTGTAATTCTTGATGCAAAGAAGATGGGTCATTTTACAAGCCTTCAGAGAATGCCTTCCTAAAACAGAAATGGCCCGCTTGTTTAACACAAACCAAAAAACGGAAAACTTGCCTAGGAATGGTGCTACACACCTGCAGTTGCAGGTACTTGGGAGGCTGAGGCAGAAGACTGCAAGTTCAAGATAGGGCTGCTCCATTTAGTGAGTCCCTGCCTCAAATAAAAGGCGTAAGGTTGGGGTTGTAGCTCAGTGGCAGAGCATTTGCCTACATGCATGTGGCACTGGGCTCAGTCCCCAGGGCCAAATAAGAAAAAAAAATATAGAAATCATTTGTCTGTACGGACAACTTAGGCAATGCCCTGCACTCAGAAGAGGCGTGCAGCTTCCGAGGATGTTAGTTACATTCTTTGAAAGAAACCTCACTCTGGCAAGCCAATAGAAAAGATTGGGGAAATAGTGGATTTCATCTCACTCTGTGTTCTTCTTGTAATGAGTTGCAAAAATTTGACATTATTCTGAATTTTCCTGTAAGAGAATTCCCGAGAAATGTATAAAGACTTTTTTTCAGCTATGACAAAAATATTCTCTGAGAATGTTTGAATTAATCGAATGGATCTAGGCTAGGATTGAGAGACTGTGAACAGGACACGGGCTCGGGACCAGTTTAAAAAGGTCAGTCATCCGTGCCGCAAATAATTCCTGACCGTGGCCTGTGTCCCAGGCACTGTGATCATTTTCTAGCAACACACTAGTAACCAAACAAGGCACGAATCATGCTGTTATGAAGGTTGCGCCTTAGATAAAATGACAAATATTAAACAAATTAGTGCAGAATAAGTATTAGTTTCAAACTATACTGAGTTCCTTAAAAGAAAATAGTAAAAACACTGAGGAAGTAGTTTTTCCAAGTTGAGACCTGTACAGTGAGTAGCAGCTGGCCAGGTGGTGAAAGACTGCAAGAAAGCTTCCAGGAGAGAGACTGCAAGGGCAAAAGCCCTGAGGTGGAAAGGAGGAGAACCCTCTTTATGATGTCCACAGATGATCACTATCACATAAGCACAAAAGAACAAAAGGCAAAAAGTCAGAAATGAAGCCAGAGGTTTAGCCAGAGGCCAGGCCCAACAGGTCCTCCAAGCTCAAGTTCAGAATCTGGTCTTTATCCTGAAAGCAATAGGAAGTCCTGAAAACCAGTAAACTGGGGAGTGATAGAATTTGATTTCCAGCACCAAACCACTTGAAGTCAGTGAGTTCTTTAACTAGTAAGGGGATAAGGGCTGCAGAGCGGGAGAAGTCCCATCAGCCGTGATCTCTGCCCTCAATGCTCGCATGTAGGAGGGGTGGAGAGTGTGAATCAAAGCACAAAAGCAAGGATGAGACTTTCTAAGGGAGACGGTGCCTAAAACATGTCTACTTTCTGGACCGTAACCGCTATTGTGCGCAGGCTCAAGCGCAAGTTTTGATTTCCTTTGAAAATGCTCAAGGAACTGTCATCTGCCAACACGAGTCATATCAGTAATTCTGTCCCCGAAACCCTCTGTCTGTTCACAGATCAGGTTCCACACAAACAACTATGCATCCAGCTCCACGTCCCTGCCCCACCAGTGTTCCTCAACCTTGATGTGGAGCGACCGCCTGGAAAGGTGAGGCGTGGAAGCTGCCTGAAAGCACAGCGCAGGTGCAGCGTCTCCCTGGAAGGCGCTGCTCTGACCTGGGGCCGGGGCGCAGAGGCAGACTATCTTTAGGAATTACAGTGCACAATACGCATGCGCCGCTGATCAGGGATTATTAGACTGCTTTGAGGAGCTATTCCTGTTTTAAAACTCTACTTAAAGCTCCTCTGACTAAGACTTTTCTGAGGCTGGCTCCAGGCTGGTCTTGTGAAATCAATTCTCCTGCCATGAGAAAGCCTGAATGTTCCTGATTTTTTCATAAGAACAGTCTCTGGGGTATTTTAAGGCTAAGTTACTGTTTTAATTACACGTCAGAATCCAGTGTGTTCACCACATGGCTAGCACTCTCATGCCTGCCCTTCGGATGAGATTTATTTTGTATAAAATGTGTGCTTCAACGAACAAACACCCTAGGAAATAGAACATCATGCCGAATGTGACACATGATTAACTGTATTGAATTTCAAGCATTCATTTCCTCCCTGAGACACCTCTTCGCAGTATTTCTGTGGGAGACTACAGGGCTATGGCATTCATTGAACACAATGTCGCTTGGGTGTTATTGAATTGTGTGGCCTATTTTTTTTAGGAGAGGATGTGAGAGAAATGTTCCAATAATTGTTTTTCAAAGATAGCGCACTTGACTAGTCAGAAAGTTGACCTCTCCTTTGAAGGCATTGTGGGCATGCTCGCTGCGTCCCTTTCCCTGGGCAGTGTCAACTACAATCGCTTCTCTGCTCAGGACGAGTTGTGTTTGTGAACGAGACACACAGGCGGTGCAGTTTCCTTGGCCTTTTGTGCTCTCGTGGCTGAGATAACTCAGAGATCCTCACTGTTTTCCAGGGAAAGAACCGAATGTGACTTCCAGTGGACGCACAGTGTGCAGCGAGCCCTACAAGATAGGAATAGGCTGGATGATTCAGAAAATAGCTTAAACATCGTGAGGTCAATGACCTTTTACTTAGCAGTGCTTTGATAGCTACCAGCTATAGATACGCACACCGTGTCATTATTGGCTGTAAACACAGATTCCCCTGGGGGAGAGCGAAGTAAAAAGAAGGGATTTTTTTTTTTCCCATCTTTCTTTTTGGTAGGTTCACTGTAGCATTATTTTTATTTTCAAAAGTACATCTTATTGTGTTTTCCCACACCATAATAAAGAATCCATGCTCTCTATAGAAACTTCGGAGAATGAAAAAAAATTAGAATGATTACTTACTAAACTTCAGTTCTTTGAATCAGGAAAAAAACTATTATTATATTATAGTATTTCTTGGGCTGGGGATTTAGCTCAGTGGCACAGCGCCTGCCTGGCAAGAGCAAGGTTGTGAGTTCAATTCCCCATACTGGAAAAAAAAAAAGCCAAAAAATAAAAAAAAATTATAGTATTTCTTTCTTTTCTTTTTTCTCTATACTTTCTTGATTTTGTTTTATATACATACGATATTATGTATGCATTATTGAATATTGTTTTTAAATCATTTCATATAAAATAAGAATTTGTTAGAACACAAATTCTTTGTAAAGTTATTTTAATATGTACATAACAGTATATTAAAAATGAATAGTATAGTTTAATATAACCCTAATCTATGGTCACATTTAATACCACGATAAATAGTACTATATTATTACCTGTGGACTGAGATTTGTGGGATTTTTATTATAAGAAGTCTTTAAATAATAGATAATATGAGATGCATATAGGAAGACTGCTTTCCAAATTAGAGAAATGGTAAATTTTATCAGCAGTGTATGAGAGTTTCTGCTTTGCTTTACTCTTGGCAACACTGAATATAATTAAAAAATAAACACAATATGTACTCTGCTGGACTGATAGGACAAAACTGTATTTCATGGCTATTTAACTTTGTGAATGTTTCTTTTTAGGCTTTAGTTAGATACTTATTGGGGCTTGTTTTATGATGAGACTTTCTCTATTTGATATGCCTATGATTGCTCTATTTATAAAACATACACAGTTACTTCAGTCAAGACGGTTTTGCAACAAGGGATGCACATTTGTAACTTACATCTGACTCCTATGCCACAAAATTAGAAAGAAATCTCCATCTGTGCTTATTGCATCTTTCTCTCTCTCTATTCTAACAGATAATGCAAGAATGGAGCTGGACTTTTTGCACAACCCCTGCCTCCCTGAGTTGTGTATTTCTTCCCACATCAGAAGGAGAATTTTATGTTTTCATTTGGAGCATATCTTTATTTTTGTCTCATTTTTTTTTTTTAATTTTTTTTTTTTTTTTTTTTTTGGTTTTTCTCCGGTACCAGGAACCGAACTCACGACCTTGAGCTTGCCAGGCAGGTGCTTTGCTGCTGAGCTAAATCTCCAGCCCCCCTCATTTTTTATTTTGATGTCTTTCTTGGTGGTAGCACAGACTGGGACCAGGTTCATCATTAAAATCCATGCCTCTGAGTGTTATATTGACTTCTTTGAAGGACTCTGGACAAGCTCTTAAGAACTGGTGCAGCTTTCCACAGGTGATAATTGGTGAGAAAAGTGAGCAACAAAAGCTCCTAGCCCAGGACTTTTCCCCAACTTCAAAACTTTACCAGAATTCAAACAGATGTGCAGATCTTCACATTCATGATCCGACTTTATAATTTAAGCTTCAAAAATCAGGATAGGTTCTTGACAGTAAAATGTAAACACACTGGCAGTGAGCATTAGTAGGACATGCACCTAATGAGGTAGAAAAGCACTTAATGAGCTAGTGAAGCAGGAGGGTACTGTGACAACAGATATTTATGCCAGTGTGTGACTAACGCTGCAGAGACGTGTTCCTCGGGGGTATGATTGGGAATAAAAGTTCCTAAATTTACTTGCTGGTTATGGGTCATTTAGTAAGTCAGGAATCTGCTTCATTGCTATTTCTCTGTCTTTAAAGAAAAAAGGAGGGCAGCCAAGGGCACCCTTGAAGTCTCATAAACAGTTATGAAGCCACATGATTAACTCTTCAGCTAGAGGGATAAAAAAATCCAGACACAGCCCTCTGATTTTGTCTTCATGCTTTATCTTATTCTTGAATAATGATCAATTCAAGATTCCTTACATTTTTTCCCTAAGGCCACACACAAAAGGCTAAATTAGGAACGGACAGTTATTCTGTATGAAATTTCACTTTCTTTATGGAATAAAAGGATTTTGCCTGTACTGAAATAAAAAAAATTCTGCAAACTTTTAAAAACTACTTGGAGTCCTCTTAGAGCTCTCAGCTGATATGTTCTTTCCTACTTTTAAATTCAGCCAAGCTTCATTCTTCTTTCCTTTTTGCTGTTTCTTCCCCTCTTCCTTCCCCATCCACTTAGCTCGGCACACAGGTGCAGTGTTGCCTCGTTAGACCCTGTGCTAAGGGCCATGCTGTCACCAGCACAGGCAGCATAGAAGGGATAAAAACATGGAACATGGAACACAGGCAGCATAGAACAGATAAAAACTGTTTCACCATGGGGCTCTGTGCTGTGACTCCACTAGGATGTCTGTCAACTAGATTGAACCAATAGTTGAGTCATTCTTCTTAAAAAGCTGGACCGCTGATGAATCAGCTGTAAACTTCAATCATTTTCTTTCAATCCTATTTTTGAAGTAGCTCTTAACACAGTGCTGGTGCTATACACAACCCTCTTTTTCCAGCTTTAAATTCAACTAATTTCGCAAAACACACAGTATCTTGCCACCACTACCTAGTGTGTATGCTCCCTTGTGTTAGCTTTCCGTCGCTGTGACAAAGTCACTGAGGAAAGCCAACTTAAAGGAGAAAGTATTTATGTTGACTCACAGTTTTAGAGGTTTCCGTCCACGGCCACTTGGCCCTTTGCTGTGATGGGGCAGATTGTCACGGCAGGAAACCGTGGTGGAGCAAAGCTGCTCACCACATCGCACTGGGAAGCCGAGAGAGAAAGAGGACAAGGAAAAAAAAAAAAAATCAATTCAACATTGTATTTCAAGGTACTAGACATACTGGCAAAATTCCAAGTGAGAATCCAGTTTTTTCTAGCAATGAAGAACCTTATGTCCCAAGAAATTTAACATAACATCAAGGAAAAAATAAAGAACATAGTCCTTAATGTGGAAAAAAAAAAAAAAAGAAAGAGGACAAGGCCAGAGTCCCAGTGTCCTCTTCGAAGACACGCCCCCAATTACCTACCTTCCCCTTTGAGGACACACCCCTGGTGACCTAATTTCCTCTTCAAAGATAGTCCCAAAGCTATCTAACTTCTTTCTACTAGGCTGAGCCTCCTAAAGTCTCTCTCCCTTCCTCATGATGCCATGTGCTGAAAACCAAGCCATAGCACATGGCTCTTAGGGGAACACTCAGAATCCAAACCTTAATACCTTTATCTGTTCATCATTCGTCTATGTGGTTATCTAGCATAGTCTACTTATTATTTCATTTTTACCAAAGATCCAGTTTGCAGGGAGCTTGCCCAATGTTATATAGCTAATGTAAGTAACAATTCACATTCAAATTCAAGTTTTTTGATTCCAAATGTACTTTTCTTCCTACAGGATAAGGATAAGAGTCTTGCAACAATGATATTCTATTTACAAGACAATCTAGTGTACAGCAGAATCATGGATTTTGGAATCAAGCTTGTATTTAAATCTGGCTATGACCAGGGATATAGCTCAGTGGCACAGTGCCTGCCTGGTAAGCTCAAGGTCCTGAGTTCAATTCCCAGTACCAATAAATCTGGCTGTGCTACTTGTAAGCTCTGTGACCTTGGGAAAGTCAATTAATCTTCTCAAGTCTCAATAAGTTGAGCTACAAACAAAAAATAATAACACTTACCTGTAAGGTTATTGTGATAATGTATGAAAAGTACATGTAGCTCAATATTCAGTTAAATATTAACAATGTTTATTCTTATTCCAGCTTTATCTCCAACTATTTAATTTGAGTTTTTAATTCCTGCTATGAACTAGCTCCCCTGTGTATTGGTTGAAATACCCTGGACAGGGTCAAATTTAAACCCCTGTGTGTCATTCTTATTATAATGATTCATAACTGTTTTTGTCAATGTCAAACTTACCTACTTGCTACATATTCAAATCTTGCTTTGACTTTTGACCTGGAATAACTTAAGTATTTTCATTATCTCCATTCTTCTGTCTCCAACTCTGAAGTTACATAATACTCATTTTGATGATTATTGTACTGCATTATTCCTTATTTTCATTGTGTATATGTTCTTCCTTGATGAAACTAATTCACAGTGAGTAGGATTTTTTTCTCATGTTTCTTTGTAGATCTCATAGCCTTAGTGCAGTGTTTGATGCCTAGAAAGATACTATTTACTTAGTAAATTATAGCAAAGGATACATTGACAAACAAGATGCTTTTGTTACCGTCTTAGTAGGGGAGATAAAATTCCTGACACCCATGCTTTAAGGAGGAGAGGTTTATTTTGTCTCACAGTTTGTAGAGGTTCAGTCCATAGTCAGCTGGCTCCAAGTAGGAAAGCATGGCAGAGGGTCCTGGCAGAGGAGAATTGCTTGTGACATGGTGGGCAGGAAGCAGAGACAGATCAAAGGGGAGGGAGGGAGAGAGACCCTTGCAGGCCATGCCCCAGTGACCACAGGCTTCCCCTCCCAACATCATATTTAGCTATAAACTCAACAGTGGACTAATCCATTGGTATCTCCACCCCCACCCCCACCCGGACCCAGTCAGCTATGATCTCTGCCTATGAGTTCATAGGCTTTGAGGGGTCATCTACATATAAACTATATCACCATGTAAATAAATATAACAGAAAGCCCTCTGTTTCCATGTTGTCATTCAACTTGAGAAACTTCATGTTAAATGTCCCTGATTTAGAAATCTCTCCAGCCCAGCAGAATAATCACATTCATTTTAACGTAATTGTGTTTATTAAAAATTCTTTCCATGAAAGTTAATAAGGTAACTGGAATACTTTGAGAAATAATGATTATTTGACAAAGATATTTCTCATAAAAGGGAATGATCTTATCTAAATAGTCTGAAGTCTGATATAAAGAAAATATAGGCCAGCCTAACATATTTCTGAGGCTTACTTTAAAGTTAGCTTTAGGTTTTAGAGCAGTTTTGATTTCACAGCATAACTGAGTGAAAATTACAAAAGAAAATCTCATTTAGACTTCACAGAAATCCATGGGACACTAATCCATGGCATACTCCACAGTACCCATGGCTCACTAACATCACCTGAAATCCTATATGCTGTTACCTACACTTTCAAATGTTCAGGGTCCTGATTCTGCAGCACAATTCTTGATCTCAACAAGAGCCTTCATCTTCCTTTTCATTACTGTCTTTACTAAACACAGATTTTCAGCATTGTGTAGTGAGGTTTTCAGGGTGATAAAACTAATCCTTAAAATTAAAATTAGTTCCTCAGGAACTCTGCCAAAAAACATTATATATGGGCTAATGATGACTGATTAACACTTTTATTGTAATTATAAAACTACTAGAAAGCTCTATGAAATACATATACAAAATATGTAATAATATGCTTTATAAGTGGACTCTGTGGACAAGGTTCCACATATATATATAATATATATGTGTACATATTTATTAGTAGATGTAATAGTATTAATGTACAAGGACAGATAAAAATGTCATATGTGTTTAAATAAAAAAATTATTATATGAAAAGACATATTGCCACTAATCCTTGTCAAAATACCTTTCTCCACTTTGAAAACCCTTCTCCCATCATTCTTGCCACTTTCTGCAGCAGTTCTAGAAGTCACCTTTTGTGATTGTTATTATGAGATGTGATAAAAACTGCAGTGAATATCGCTGCTGAGTGCCATCCAATGGGGAAAGGCAGGCTCGTGAAAGCATTCTGGGGCGTCCATCCACCTTATTTCCCAGATCTGACACCCTGTGACTCCTGGCTCTTCCTCAAAGTCAGAGTGACCATGAAAGTTAAATGTTCTGAATCAGTTCAGGATATTGAGGCAGGTGCAACAACACAACTAAAGACACTCACAAAAGAGGTCTTCCAGAACTGCTTCAGAAAGTGACAAGAAAAATGGGATAAATGTGTTCCAAGCAAGAGGAAGGGTTTTCAGGATTAATGGCAATGTGCCTTTTACTGTAATAATTTTTTAAAAAAACTTTAAACAGCCGTTATGTTTGTGCTCACATTCCTGTATAACAGTCTCTGTGATTTTAGATCCTTGACTTTTGTACTGGGCTAAATGAACTCCTGCCGGCTCCAACCTCCATTCTCTTCC